CCAAAATTCTACTAGCGTGCTGAAAATGATAATCCAACATAAAATTACATTGATTCTTATTTATTTTTAATATAGATCAAATTGCCTGCCATACGTGTATTGGACCGTCGAAATTCAGCCTAACTTTCGATTTTGCATTTAATTAACTCTGAAAACATAAATTACACGTGCTTGACGATGATGGCCAATACATTAAGCTAATAATATTTTAAAAATCTTAATATTTTTTTTTATAGAAAATTGTTAGTTTTATTAAAAATAAAAAATATTTAAAATTACAATGAAAATTTAAAAGTATAACCGTAAACTTAAAATATAATCGTTATATTTTCATATTACCATTGAGACAAAAATTAGTCACATAGATCACATAAAGACCAAATAAGAAAAATATTAAAAAATCTAATAAAAAACTCGAATAATATAAAAATACGAACAAATCTGACTGCATCAATAAACGAACCACAAAAGGGGATGAAGTTACTAAAAGATTACTGACAAATCGTAAATCAGAGTCAAGCGATGTGAGAAAATTATTCATGAAAGCAAAACGCGTATCTAAATCAATTTGAGGGTCCAAAGCAGGGAAGATCATCATGGTGATAAATAAGCGTCACCTTAATCAGTCGTGACAATTGCAAATTCAACTATGAGAAAAAAAGATAAACAAAAACAAAGGCAAAAATCGTAAATAACGGAAAAAACCGTAGGCTACCAAAATGCAAATAAAATATGTCATAAAAGCTGAGATAAACGTGTCATAAAGATAGAGAATATGTCACAAAATCATAATTATTCTTATTGAAAAAATAAAGAAAAAAAGATAACCAACTGGTGGCAACCAACATTAAAATCGATGTCACCACCGGTTAAACAAAATTAAAAAAATTAAATTAATCAATAAAATTGACACAAATTATAAAAAAATAAAAAATGAGAGAGAAAGTCGATAGGGTTTTAGATTATAATAATCTTAATATCTACTAGTTGATGTGATAAGATGAAATAATAAACATTTAAATAAGATTATGTGTTCAAATTGTAACACTGTAAAATTAAAAATTTAATTTAAAAAATATTCTATAACAATAATTAATTTAATTTATTCGACTAATAAATTAAATATTATTATCGTCTAACAAGAAGCTAATGTATATTCTAAAGTAATATCTTATGAAAAATTTGTCAATACCCAATCTCAAGGGGATAAGGAGACAAGTTCTATTTATTGGGAGTGGCTTCACCATTGTGAACTTGCATTTCTTGCTTTGTAAGTTAGTTATACCTACCAAATCTTCAAATTAAATTCAAATAAAAACGTTTTTAGTGCTTTTTATGATTATACATTAATTTCTTTGAAAAGTACCAATTTTTTATATATCAAAACATAAAAGTCAGTTAACGAGTATTGTCACAAGTAGTTGAGATTTAAGAATTTGAACTTGTAAGATTAAGTTTGAATACTACTATCGTCACTCTTGATGGATAATTTATAAATTTTTATATAAATTTTGATTAGATCTCAAGTATACCCCAAACCTTAGGGAGTGTTTGGTTTAAGGATTGTTGGATTCTCATAGGATGGGAATCCCACATTCCAATGTTTGGTTGGCCGGGAATCTCATTCCCGGTAATGTTTTATTACCAATAGTAGATTTTTTGGGTATATTATCGGGAATGTCATTACCTCACTTCCCTTAGGTATTGTAACATTACCGGCGTTTTGGACTAAAATGACCTTAAATTTTTATTTTTTTTTCAAAATATATCCTTCTTCTGTCATTGAATAATAAAAATTCTACGAAGGTTAAATTACAAATTTATCCTTAAATTATTTTAGATTTACAAAAAAATCTATAATTAAAATTTTATATGAAGTTCAGGGGTTAAATTTTTTTTACCCTTTCATTAAACATTTTTTTATTTTTAATTTTGTAAACAAAATTATATAAATATTATGAATTTAATTTTTTAAAGAAAATATATAAATATTTTTACAATTTGTAATATTAAACAAATATATAATAAGGACAAATTGGTAAAATATACATTCCAATAATCTTTTATTCCTTTAACCAAACACGATAATCTTACATTCCTACTAAACCAACCAAACACAAAATACAACATTCTCAGTAATCCTATTCCCTGGTAATCTTTTATTCTCACTGATAATCTTATATTCCGTGAACTAAACGAACCCTTAATAGGAGAAAACACCACTGACCTAAACTTTTGTTACAAAAGTAAACAATGAATTGACATTTGACTTAATTTATTATTTTACGTATAATTCAAATATTTGTCAAGTTTATGGCCAATTCATGTGTCAAGTCAAAAATGTATTAATAGTAATTACACCCTATTTAATTATTATAATTATTTATATATGTTTGGTTGGTAAAGTGTAATATAAAAAAATATTAAGACTTATTAAATTTAAAAATGAATTAAAAAAAGTCTGATTACCTTGTATTTGTGATTATTTGAATTCCCACCCCTCTATTGAATTGAGTAATTAAGATCGGATATTGAAATTTATTATTATAGATTAATCTTTTTAACTCGATTTTATTTATTCAGAATGTCAATATTCATACCCCTAACTTTGTTTAAAAAATTTAGTATATTATTTCACTAAATCAATAGGTTATTAATTAATTTTTTTATAATTATCAATTAAAATTTTTAAATATATTGTCATTAATTTTTATATTGGTAGTAAATATAATATTTAATGAGTTCAACATCATGTCATTAAAAAACCCAAACATAGAAGTTATCGACCAAAGAGTAATAATTGAACATTTGGCATTGTCTTTTTAGAAAGACTTGAGGGTAATACTGCAAAATTATGCAAATGGCGAAATATTTTCCTCCTTATGCCATTTATACTACAAATAGTCCCTTACTATACCGCGGCGTTTTATTAGGTCATTTGATTATTAAAAGTCATAAAATAATCTCTTGAATATAAGAGATTATTTTATTAAATTTCTTAACTATTAAAAGTTACAAAATAGTCACCTAAAATTGTCTCTTGAATATAAGACGTCGTTTTCTTGAATATATTGCTTTGTTGAGTCATATGTTCCAAATTCGTCTATTTTTGATAAACTATTGGCGAATGTATAAGCTAGGCGTTAATTTTGTTGGTTGAGATATGATAAAATATGATCCCAAGACTAATTAAGTTGTATTTTTTTATCGACTCTTCGTTTACATTATGTTATCGAATTATTGCTTGAAAGCAAGGACGCCGCCAATAAATATCATTAAAATATGATTTTATCATATCCTAGTCAACATGTTAATGTCCAACTTAGACAACAATAATTTTTAACAGAGAAGAACGAACTTGGAACATGTGAATAGTATGTGATCATTATTTAACTTCTAATAGTCAAAGCACTCAACAAAATAATGTATTATAATCAAGGGACTATTTTGTAACTTTTAATGATTGACATACTCAACAAAGATAGATACAGACAGATTTGATCGTATCGGAACACGAACCACTAAAGAGAATCAAACTACCTAGAGAACACCAAAAAATCACAAAGCATACTCGAGCCACATAAAAATCTATCCACAAATTTATAACAGGTATCAAAATCCAATCCGAGGTTCCAGAGTAGGGAAGATCAACAATATAATCGATAAGTGCATCTTATTCAATCACAGTGATGCCAAATTAACTTTTAGAAAAAAGATAACTGAAAAGATATTCAAACGATCGAAAAATGTGTCAAAAGACAGAAGAAAACGTGTCATAAAAAAAATATGAAAACGTGTTATACGGACATACTTATTGACAAAAAGAAAAAATAATAAAAATTGCCTACAATCGACAATCAATAACAAAATTAATATCGTCGTTGATCAATAAAAAAAAGAAAAAAGAAATCAACAACCTAATCATGAGAGAAAATTACTAGAGAAAAAACACTAAATTCCTAAATCGTATAACTCTTTATATTATATAAATATTGAATTGATTATTTTATGTTTTGAAATATCTAAAAACAAAAGGTTAGTATTGAAACGTGACATTTTAATACTTATAATTATATTATTATAGTTTTATCAAATCAAAGCACCAATCTTTTAATAAAGAACCTAATCCAACGGCGGATAAAGCGGGGGCGTTTCCATGAGGGGTATTTCCGTCCAAATAATAGATTCCGAATCCCACCATTTTAAACTGGGATAATTACACGAATAATCACTTATGTTTATATTTTATCTATTTTTAATCACTGATTTCAAAATACTTTAGATATAGTCACCTTCATTTTTATTTAATTAAAATATGGTAATTACGAGTTAATTGTCGTTAAACATTTTAGTATAATTACACATTTGATTCTGTTATTTACGTATTGTCTCAATGTAGTCATACTTTTCATAAATGAAAATAAATTTAATCATCCAATCGAATGATGTCATATGCCATTGATATCATGTGTTGTGCGTCATCATTCAGTTAGAAGATTAACTTTATTTTATTTTAATTTTACAAAGCAAAACAATTGGTCAAAAATAAATATATTAAATTAAAATAAAATTAGTTCTCAAACCAAACGATAATTAAATCATTGTGACCACATATTAAATTAATAAATATAAAAATAATAATATCTTAATTAAATAAAAACGAATGTGATCATATTTTATATATTTTAAAATCAGTGATCAAAAATAAAAAAACTTAAACATAAATATCCATGTCATTAACTCTTTAAAATATTAAAAATAAAGAAATTCGTGTAAGATATTTTTGGAAAGGAAAAGTTAAAATCCGTGAGATCTACTCGGTTTACGGTTCTCAATCAACCGGAGAAGATAAGACCAATCTAAGTACGCCACGTGGAGGAACGAGTAAGGAACAAGTGGTGCTGTGAAATTACGGGAATAGGTCCACTCATCCGAGTGTGAGCTAAGAACAAAAAAGCTTAAATACTAGGCTCTGCTGCGTTCGGGAAGACGGCCACCATAAATTGAAGGGAAAAGAGGAGAGGCCGTATTTGGGAGAGGAAAAAACCCCCCTTAAAATATTGAAAAAGAAAGACCGTGGAAAAGGAATATTTCAGGATTTGATTTTCTATCTGCATTTTCAGGTACTTCGATTTCTCTCCGTTTTTCCCCAGTTTTTTTTCGCTTAATTTTCCTTTTTTTGTTGATATTCTCTTGCTTGTTTTTCATTGTTAGTTTTATTTGGATTTGTTAGATCTCGGGCGTTTTGAAGCTCATGTTTGGATTTTTTGTTATGTTTTCTTTGATTTTGGATCTGAAGTTGCAGTGTTGAACATAAAATACATTGATTATCGGATCTCACTCTGTTTTATTTGATTTAAAACATTCGCCGGTACTGTTAAGCCGTGGATCTTTATTTTCCCCTCGTTTATTTATATTTATTGTTTCCTTGTCTTTATGATAATATAATATATCTATGTATTCATGCATGCATGAATTTGATCAGAGATTGTAAGATATTTTGTTGCTCTGATGAAAGAATAATTACTGTTATTTTATTCTTTAATGGGAGAAAGAATCATATGCTAGCTAGTGGAATCAGTTATGCTTTTGATACCGAGTCAAACTTTAAGCAGCCGCCGTGCCGGTCTTAGCTTGTTAGGTTTTAGGCGGCCTCCATGGAATTCACTTTCATGTATTTTAATATTAAAATTATAATGTTCTTTAATTATCATTTGAGTGTGGGTTGATCATGAATTACCTTTCAATCCCAAAACAACACAAACTATAAGTTGAATCAGGGAACAAAACAATGACGTTTTGTCCTTTTCTTCTGGTTGTTGATTTAAATATATATATATATATATATATATATATATATATATTCAAATTGCAAATTTTAATTGTTTATTGGGTTTTGGTTAATTAAAAACATAAGTTGTACAATATTTTGATCATGAAAACTACACTGTTTAATTAGTTTTATTTGTTAGTCAATACAAAATTTATAAATTCATCAGCTAAATGGAACCCCATACCCATGTTTTGTTAGCTAAACTCGCCAGATTAGCCTTTTAATGTGGAGAAGTGATGGATACGCTGTTATTGGTAGGAAATGAAAGCGATTTGTGTCACCTATTTATGAAAATCATTTAGTCGACGGTTCATCATCACGTGATGACCTCTTGATTTCAAAAGGTTCTTTTTTTCAACTTTTTGTGTCGTAGACATCTTGATTCCCATCTCCAGTCTGTGGCAGCTGTCACGTTGTCATTTTTCTTTTTGCAGCCTGTTGGCCCTGATTTGTTTGGTGTGTGTTTTCCCATGGCAAAGGCTATTATTTTTGTTTTACAAGGACTTGCACCGAATATGAAATATCTAGCAACAAGTGTTATTACTTGGGCTTTGTTTGCTTTTAGGAAAATTTCTAAAAATAAATTATATTTTTTGAAAAATATTTTTTTAAAAATATTTTAGGATATCATGATAGTGTTATGTAATTTATTTTTTACTGGTTTGTAGATTTTGTAGTTTTTTTTATTATAAACATCAAATATAATTAATAATTTTATTTATTAATAAAATAATAATTATATTTTTAAATATTAGATTAATTTATTTAATGTTATTATATTATTCAATGTTATATCTACAATTTTATAAATAAAATTATTATAAATTTTATATATTATTTATTAAAATATAATAAAATATTATTAATTATATTAATTATTTATTATAATAATAATATTATTAAAGTATTAAAAATTATATTAGTAAAACAATAATATTGTATTATATTTTAAGGAGTGTATATTAAATATTCAACAATTAAATAATACTAATTTATGAAATTAATAAATAATATTAATTTTATTAAAAATTTATTATATATTATTATTTATAATAAAATAGCTATAACAATAAAATATAATATTAAATTATTAAAATTAACAAATATAAGTTAATAATTAATATTTTTTATTAAAACGGTATTAAAATAATATACTAATATATATATAAAATAATAATATTTTGAGTGTTTATGTTTTGAAGTGAAAAATTTGTAAAATAATTTACGGAAAATCAGATGGTAAATCATTTTCTAGAAAATGTAAAGGAAATTCAGTTAATCGGGAAATTGATTTGTTTTCTGTCAACCAAGTACTGAAAAATGTGGAAAATATTTTTCGGAAAATCAATTACAGGGAAACAAACTCTTATCAGAGCCAATTAACTATTTCCATAGATAGTATTGAAGTGCCTTTAGGGAACTTGTCAACGATCTTTGATGAAAATGTAATTAGTGATTTAATTTTTGAGTTTGGTACACAATTAATTTTTAATTAACAAAACAGATGAATATTCATGTTTATTGAATGGGTTAAATAGGATATTTGGTGTGGGCCATGTTAGTAAACAACATGCTTAAGCTTTCAGTATGTAAACAATTTTAAGGGAGTTTGATGAGTCATTAGCTTAATATGAAAGAATGTTAATGGTGAGCCTTGCGTGTGAAATACAGATAGCGAAAGTCAACAAACAACATGCTTAAGCTTTCAGTATGTAAACAATTTTAAGGGAGTTTGATGAGTCATTAGCTTAATATTAAAGCATGTTAATGGTGAGCCTTGCGTGTGAAATACAGATAGAGAAAGCCAACAAAGTGGGAAATTAAGCTGCTATATTGGTCATTGATTAATTTTACTATACTTTTCTTAGTGGCAAACTCGTGGACCTTCAACCTTGGATGCCTTCATGTATGAGAATTAGTCGTAGTAGTACACCCATGCTGAAGTTATCTCGTCAACGCATCTTACGCTAGTGGCCACTTATTTTTCTTCTATAGAGTATTCTTTGAATCACAAGATCACCACTCAACTTGTCTGCCGACGCGTGTCTTCCTTTTTCTATTATTTTAACTTGTAAACGTGCTTTCCTTTCTGCCTGTCTGTCAGACTGTTTAAATGGTAGTCGCCGCAAGTTGGTTGGTAAGTTTGTCCTCGTTGCCTTTTTTGCTTCAATCCCTATAACTGAGTAATGGCTTAAGCTAGAAATAAGTTCTTAAAATATGTTTTTTTTTTGCTTTAAGTCCCTACATTATTTTTTTTATCAAAATAAGCTCCTGAATTATGTCTATTTTTGTTTGAAATCAATGAACTATTTTTTGGTCAAAAACAAGTACTTAATTTTATGTGATATGTCAATATCTCATTGGTTGGAAAAAATTTTCTAATTGAATTTTTTTTGGTATGATAGGTTTTTTATTGGTATAAGGTAGGTCACATGCAATTTAGAATAAAAAATGAAACCCCAAATCTTTCATGATAATATTCAAATGTAGGGTCTAATTTTAAATGAACCAAGTCGACGTCAAGACTAGTTTATGTCAAGAATGACTATTCTATTGACTCCAACGTGTTAATTAGCTGTCACTAGAAGTAGGTACATTGTTTATATTTAAATATATGTTTATATTTATAATTATATATTGGGTAAAGTACACAAATGGTCCTCAATTATAGCATATTATTTTATTAAGTCACTGGATTATTAAAAGTTATAAAATTGTCCTTTGAATATAGAGTGTTGTTTTTTTTAAGTCTGATGACTACTGAAAGTTATAAAATGATCATTCGAATATTGATTATGTTCTAAATTCGTTATTTTCTGTTAAAAATTGGTGGTTTTTTAAGTTAGACGTTAACATGATAACTGAATATAATAGTTGTTTGAGATTCTAAGATCATATTTTATCATATCATAGTCAGTAGGTTAACGTTCAATTTAGAATAATATTAATTTTTTAATAGGAAATGACGAGTTTAAAACATAATGAATAGTCGGGTTATTATATTATAATTTTTAATAATCGAGAGATTTAACAAAATAATATTTTGTAGTTAAAAGATTATTTTATAATTTTTAATAGCCAAAGAATTTAATAAAATAGTATTATATAGTCAGAGATTATTTGTATACTTAATTTTTATTGAGTTCATGTTTGGATCTGTTTGCAGTTATATTTTGCCTTTGGTGTTTTAACCATTTTGCCATCTTTTATCATTCTCCAGGTTGTGGAACAATGGGTGCAGGTGGCAGAACGTCGGTTCCCCCATCTCAAAGGAAGCCAGAATCTGGGTCAGTGAAGAGAGTCCCAATATCCAAACCACCCTTCACTCTGGGCGAAATAAAAAAAGCCATCCCCCCACACTGTTTCCAGCGCTCACTGTTCCGCTCATTCTCCTTCCTCATTTACGACTTCATCTTGATCTCTCTCTTCTACTATGCAGCCACCACTTACATCCCCTACCTTCCATTGCCCCTTTCTTTCGTCGCCTGGGCCGTTTATTGGGCCGTCCAAGGCTCGGTCATGACGGGTGTCTGGGTCATCGCCCACGAGTGCGGCCACCACGCTTTCAGCGACTACCAATGGGTCGATGACACTGTCGGTCTCATCCTTCACTCGGCCCTCCTTGTCCCGTATTTCTCGTGGAAGTACAGCCACCGTCGTCACCATTCCAACACTGGTTCCCTTGAACGCGACGAGGTGTTCGTCCCGAAGAAACGCAGCTCCATTGGATGCTGGGCGAAGTACCTCAACAATCCAGTAGGCCGATTCTTCTCCGTCACAATTCAACTCACCCTCGGCTGGCCTCTTTACTTGATGTTCAACGTAGCAGGCAGGCCTTATGACGGATTCGCGTGCCACTACAATCCTTACGGCCCCATCTACAACGACCGCGAACGGCTGCAAATCTACGTATCCGACGTCGGTGTCCTCGCCGTCTCCTACGGGCTGTACCGTCTCGTCTTGGCCAAAGGGTTGGCTTGGGTTGTTTGCGTTTATGGTGTCCCGTTGCTCATAGTCAACGCCTTCCTCGTCATGATAACTTACTTGCAACACACTCATCCAGCATTGCCGCACTATGATTCGTCGGAATGGGACTGGTTAAGAGGAGCGCTCACGACCGTCGACCGTGATTACGGAATATTGAACAAGGTCTTCCATAACATAACCGACACTCACGTGGCTCACCATTTGTTTTCGACGATGCCGCATTACAACGCTATGGAGGCGACGAGGGCAATCAGGCCACTATTGGGAGAGTACTATTCGTTCGACGGTACACCGGTTTACAAGGCGATATTTAGAGAGGCAAAGGAGTGTCTATTCGTGGAACCAGACGAAGGGGAGCAGAGCAGCAAGGGTGTATTTTGGTTTAGGAACAAGTTTTAAATTAGCGTCGCGGTTGCCCATGGCGGTTGCGTGTGAAAGGTTTGTGTTAGTTTGTCATATTATCGTCAAGGATTTTGGCGTTTGCCGTGACTTCAGTTTTAGCTGTTTTTAAATTTGAACATTTTGAGCCCATCTTTGTTTCGTTCTCATCAAAATGGTCCCAAGCTTCCTCGTAGTTGATCTGAATGCCGGTCGCAAAAATGACCTTTGATCCTTGTGTAATTCATTTTCTTAGTTTTCTCTTCCGTTGCTTGAGCATTTCATTAAGAAAGACGTTAGAAAGTAAAAGGACTTAAAATTCCACAATAGCCATAAGAAGGTACCTTAGCAGCTTCCTCGGGGAGCGAAATCGCCACAACCACCACCACCACCACCGTCACTCTATAATCTCCTCTTAGCAAGCACATTAAGCCCTGACTACTTTCCTATCTTTTCCAACTTTTCGAAGATGACCCATCATTATATCTACATCCACATTTCAAGCAACTCGGTCAAGTCACCTTATAAAAACCAAAGACACTCGGCAACGTTTCAACTGATAAAATATAGCGTAAATTATACATTTAGTGTCTAAACTATCAATTTTGATCTGTTTTAGTATTTAAACTTTTAATTTTTTTTAAAATCATACCTAAGGTTTATTTTTTGTTTCATTTTAGTATCCCGCTGGCTGTTCTTAAAAACTTTAGTTTTTGTTTCATTTTAGTACGTTGTTCAAAATTTAACGTTAAGTTTTAAAAAAAACTAAAAGTTTGGGTATTAAAATGGATTAAAATTGAAGTTTAGGTACTAAACGCGTTAAGTTTTTAACAACGGGTTACTAAAATGAAATAAAAACTAAATATTAGATATGATTTTAAAAATAGTAAAAGTGGAAGTATTAAAACAGATCAAAATTGATAGTTTAGGTATTAAATGTGTAGTTTACCCATAAATTAAACAAATATATTTATTTATTCATTTATTGATTATTATGAGGTAATTACAAAACAATATATGTTTAAAGATAACTTTTAATCATTTAATATTGAATATTTACACCCTTAACATTCTTATTACTCAAACCGAAACCTTAATAAATGAACTTAACTTATTTTTATTAAAAAATCATTTATTCAGCTAAAGAAACCTAAAATATGTATTTGTATTTATTTAATTTAGTAAATATAAAAATACAATATATAAACCGATTTACGAATCAATTTTCGACATTATGTTGGATTACATATCAGAAAAATCTTAAGTCTATGTGCAGTGAAGTAACGTCAATTGCATCATTAAAAAATAGGGTAAAACACACATGTATTATCACTTTTATTTATTTCAGTACTTAAACTTTCATTTTTTTTAAATTATATACAACATTTATTTTTTATTTCATTTTAATATCTTCTATTAAAAATTTGAATACTAAAATGAAACAAAAATTTAATAGTGGATGTTAAAATGAAACAAAAAGTACAAGATAGATATATTTTGAAAATATTAAAAGGTTAGATACTAAAACAGAAGAAAAGTAATAATTTATGTACTAAAGATTTAGTTTACTAAAAAATATACAACATTTGGCAGCTAATATAATCTCCACTTGACCCAATTTCGCCACATCATCAACTAATTCTCACTCTAATCATCATCACCGTTGATTAACACCCAATCATGGATTATATAAAAATGAATACAAATACAGAGAATCTTCCCTCCCTCCTCCTCTCTCCCCTTAGGCCGTGCTTCAATTTCTCTAAATTTTTCTCCCAAAGATTTCTTCTTAATTTCTAATTTTTATTTCTACTTTTCTTCCCTCTGTTATCTCCAAACAATATGAAAGATTGCTGACCCAATCCATGGCGAGTCAAGCCGAACTCAGAAACAGCTCCCCCATCCAGCTCAGTGACTCAAGAGCATTTGAAAGAGCTCCGAGTTTGCTGGTCAAGATCGTCGGCTGTTAAGGCCAGGTCTTTCTTTTTCTTCAATAAGTTCTAATTTTACCGTAAATTTTCAATGTTTATCTGTTCTCGTATTTCAAGTCTTCAGCTTGATGACATAACGCTAGGGTGAATTTGGGTTTTAGATCTGGGTTTCAAGAAATTTGTGAAGAAATTAGTGTTTTACCTTTCTGTTTGGATGAATTTGTGATCAAGGAAGGGCTTTTATTGATTTGGGTTTTATTTGTTATTAGGGTAAAAGAAAATTAAGGGGTTTTGATGAATTTTGTTTAGTTTTATGATTCTGCGATATGGGTTTCTTCAATTTTAGGGTAAATTTAAGGTTTTTATATCTGTGTCCGTTCAATTTGTGAAGATTATAAGGAGGGTTTATCTGTTGTTGGAAAATAAGGGTTCTTTTTGGAGGATTTGTGATGGATGAGGAAACGTCTGATACGATGAACCTTGATTTGAATCTGGGTCCGGCCCCTGAGACCGGGTCCGGATCACTGTCGAATGAAGTTGTAAATTTCGATGGTTTAGTTGATAACCCGTTCAATAGGATCCGGGAAGTGGTTAGGCGGAGGCGATGGAGATGGCATCAGGTTCCGATTCCTGCCGAGGCTCAGAGCCTCTCGGTGGAATTCGATCAATTTAGGGGGAATTCTGGCGGTGTGAATACGATGCAGGCAGGTGAGGGCAGCGTGGCCGCTGAGGAAAGAACGATTGATGTGCTGAAAGCATGTGAAGCCACCCATGGGTTTTTGGAGGATGGGATTTCAGAAGATAGGAAGGAGGATATTGAGAAGGGTGTTAGCAATGATGGGAGTTTTTTCGATTGTAATGTATGCTTCGATTTGGCTCGGGAACCTGTTGTAACCTGTTGCGGTCACTTGTTTTGTTGGTCGTGCCTCTACCGATGGTTGCATGTGCACTCCGATGCAAATGAGTGCCCAGTCTGCAAAGGAGAGGTGACGGTTAAAACGCTGACCCCGATATTTGGTCGTGGGAATGTTATCCAGGAGCCAGAAGAGGACTCTGGTTTTAAGATCCCTCCTCGCCCCAACGGGCGGCGAGTGGAAAGTTGGAGGCAAACTATTCAACGGACTTCTCTAAATGTACCTGTGGAGGAGATGATTCGCCGGATCGGAAGCAGATTTGATCTGGTTCGTGACCTGACTTCACCACGGGAGGCCAATGGTTCCAGGGGAAATGCTGAAAGAACTGATTCCATGCTTAACCGAATTTCGACATCTCGAGAATTCCGAGGAGAGCAAAATGCAGTTGTGCCACTTGATGATGTTGACCCGACACCGAGCATTACACCCGGTACCGATATTACGTCGTCTTCCAGGCTTCATTCTTTGTATCTTCAACGACAATCATACCTGCGAAGAGCTGCAAGATTGACTTCTCTGTTATCCACGGTGAGTTCAACGGAAAGGATGGTGGATGCATATTTCCGAGGCAACTCGGTGGGAAGAAATCAGGAGCAGCCGCCAGCGGTTGTCGATGATAGAGACTCGTTCTCAAGCATTGCTGCTGTGATAAACTCGGAGAGTCAAATGGACACCGCCGTCGAGATAGATTCCGTGGTATCACTTTCAGCTTCGTCTTCTAGGAGAAGGAACGACGTTTTGCTGGTTTCCGATGTCGACAGCGGCGACTCTCGTGCGCAGAGGAGAAGACGCCTGAACTAGGAGCTAGAAAGATTTGAGATCACAGCTGAGTCTCCCATAATAGTGTTCTTTTTAACTGCGTTTCCATTTTTATATTGCTTATTTCTCAAACATATATGGATTGAAATGTTATCATCCTTTCCTCTTTATCTTTGCCTTCTTGACGAGTCTCTCAAGTCCCCAAACTACGACTTCCATACTAATGTAATCCTAAAACTTTAAAATATTTTATATTAATCCTAAAACTATCTCCTTCCGCAAGGCATGCCAAATTTGGTCCCTTTGGCAATCATTTTTTATTTTCTTTACTTTTATCCATGTTATCGTATTCTTGAAAAATTAAATTATTTAGAAATAAAATAAATCTCAATTAGATAATATTTTTAATATTAAGATTTATTAAAATATTTTAATTAAAATCAAATTCACATAATATATAAATTTTAGTAACTAAAATTACTATTATATCAATTTAGGTCATATTTTTCATTAAATCAACCGTTATAATTAGGGATGACAACAGATTCAATTAGGGTTGGATTTTTTTCGATCCGACTTGAAAATATATATCCTCCACTTGACTCCGATCCGATCAAAATTTTTAGAGTATAAATCCGACCAGACCCGATACAAAATAAGGGTTTAATTAAAAAATAATATTTTTTAATGAAATTACATTATTATCCTCGAGTCGAGTCGAAACCCGTTGAATTCGGGTAAAATTGCCATCCTTAGTTATAACAACGCCAAGGTACTTAAACGTTAATTGTCGAATGGTTGAGAGTCTTTAAAATAGATATTACTACTTTAAGCATCCCGGATTAATTAAGGAAAAAAACAATGGTGTTAAGTGACCAAAATAAAAAAATCAAAATAAAAGTAGTAGAATAAATATATGGGGTAAATAACCGAACTTGTTGAAAAATGAGATCAATTTTCACCTTCTACATATTTATATTAAATTCTTACCAAATTCAACTAGCCCACTTTATATATAAATTCTTTTCTTATTAGGCACAACTAATCAACATTTCAAAGTCAAAACGGGAACAGTATATATATTGCCTATAATCTACATCAAATTTTCATTGCCTCAAGCATGGCGGAGCTCCTCCTAAAACTCTCATCCGCCGCCGCCGTCTTCCTCCTCGCGGTCCTCTCGTTAGCTTCCTCCTTCGCCACCGTAGAAGCAAAGCCTTTCTCCCGAAACCTCTCTCCACTGTCCCTGGGGATAAACAAACCGGAGAAACTAAGCCACCTCCATTTCTACTTCCACGACATCGTCGCCGGCAAAAACGCCACCGCTGTCCGCGTGGCCAAAGCAGAAACGACGTCCGCCTCGTCGCCGTTCGGTGCGGTGGCGGTGATAGACGATCCACTGACGGTCGGCCCCGATATAGGGTCCAAACTCGTGGGAAGAGCGCAAGGGATTTATGCTTTAACGTCGAAGACCGAAAGTAGCTTGTTGATGGCGTATAACTTCGCTTTCATGGAAGGGAAATATAATGGAAGCAGCCTTACCGTTATGGGGCGGAACCCGGTGCTTTCCGCCGTAAGAGAGATGCCGGTGATGGGTGGCAGTGGGGTTTTCCGGTTTGCTCGTGGATATGTCGAAGCAAGGACTCATACATTTGATCTCAAGACTGGCGACGCTTGTGTTGAATATGATGTTTATGTTTACCACTATTAGTGAATTATTTCTTCTCTTTGAGGTCTAATTACACTTTTAGTCCCTTTACTATGTTAAATTCGAGATTTATCCCTTTTAATTCGATACAATTTAATAATTTATTTAGTGATTAAAAGATTTGTTGTTACCACTTAAAGTCTCGGGTTCGAGCACCGCCGTGTATGCAATGATATGAACGTTTATTGTCAAATGTTTAAGTCTTTGAACAATTACTACATTGTATTCTTCCCCTTAATCCTAAAACCATAAATCGTGAATTGTGAACTCCAAATCAAAACCCTAAAATAGACATACCTATATAAACTAAAGTTTATTCGATCTAAATTTGAATCAATTAGATCATTTTATTTTTCAGTTGTATAACCAATTATGTATTATAACACTAATGAATGAGATTAAAAGCGAGCTTTTTATATAAATATTTATTTTTTTTAAAAAGGAAAATTTCACATTTAGTACCTAATCTATCATTTTCGGTCTGTTTTAGTAAGTAAGCTTTCATTTTTTTTCATAACCATACCTAAAGTTTAGTTTTTGTTTCATTTTAGTGCACCGTTCAAAATTTAACGTTAGGTTTTGATTTTTTTGAGAGTTTAGGTACTAAAATAAGCTAAAATTGATAGTTTAGGTACTAAATTCTAAACGTGTTGAGTTTTATTGGTGGGGTACTAAAATGAAATAAAAATTAAACGTTAGATATGATCTTGAAAAAAATTAAAAATTCAGATACTAAAATAGATTGAAACTAATAATTTAGATACTAAATGCGTTGATTACCAAAAAACAAATTGAAATACCAGAGTTATAGGTCATCCACTCACCCCCTCACTCTAGTGTTTCATTTTTTTAAGAAAGGGTTAGGTGTAGTCCCTTTGATTTTTTTAATTACATTTTAATTAATTTTCGAAACCCACTTTTTAAAATATGATATTCATTCTTCGAAATTATTTACCCGATCGCTATTTTCATCAAACAAATACATCTTTCTTCTAATAAATTTATATTATAAGATATTTTATAAAACAAACGTAACACATTATGTTAAATTAAAGTAAAAGAAGAGTAACTACATCTTTCACCGGTAAAAATAGTGTCCGAGAGTCTAAAATATAATTTGTTAATATAAGGTTGAAAAACGATAAAGGTTTATTGTAACCGAAAATATTATCAAGAGCGTAATCTTTTAGTTTGAATGTGATTATATTTCTCGATAACATTTTCAGTTACAATAAAAAATGTTATAGATTTTTATAACTTTTTTAGTTGCAAACCTTAAAACTACTTCAATGTAACATTTTCAATTGCAATCGAAAATATTGTATATTTATATAACTTTTAAGTTAAATATATTTTAAATTAACCTTAAATTAATTACCGAACAACAGAACCACTCGACTCTCTGCACAAACTAATTTTGAAATATATATTTAGTTGTAAATTTAATAATATAAGTTAAATGATATCTTAAGAGTTAGAATTGATGTACGTAGTAGGTAAATACAAGTTAAATTCAACTTGTATTAAAATATTTAGAGTTAAAATCAATAAGAGAAAAATAAAATAGCTAATATCTATTCTACTGATTGACTAATTCATATCGGGTTTTGCAGAGACCCATTATAGGGGTGACCCTTCCAACCTAGGTTGCTCAACTCACTATCGTCAGGATTCGAACACCTAACCTGATTTAAGGAATCTATTACCTCATCTCACTAGATCAACTAATTGCTGATTTTTTTTAAAATTTTATTAATAATTTTTTGTGATCTCTAAAATTTTATAAAATTATTATTTAAAATTTTATATTACAATTTTATAAACTAATCATAATATAAAATTTTACGTCCGAAAACAGATCTTCAATAGAAACTACATAAAATAATTTAAAATATATAATAATTTTAAATTTTCAAAAGACGACTATCCGTCTAACCCTTTCTGTCCATTCTTGATCACAACATTGCATAATTAAGTTAGTTTGTTGATGGGCATGGTGTATAAGTTTGCCTTCATGGAAGGGAAATATAATGCAAGCAGCCTCAGGTATATGGGGGAGGAATATAAAAAAAACACATGATTTTGTGTAAAAGATATAAACATAAAAAATTATATTATTAATAAAGAGGTGTAAAATTATAAAATTTCTAGAAGTACGATTATATTTTCAATGCCCTTCTATTCATCTTTGGGATAAAACCCAACCAAGAACTCGACCGATCTTTGGGATAGAACTAATATTTTCCGACGTAAGAGAGATACTGCCATCCTTGGTGGATCCACCTTAATAGGTGGACACTGAATTTTCTTCGAATAATTATCTATTTTACTTATAGTATCATTTTAAAATTTTATTTATCTTATACAAAAATTTCATATTATTGATACATATGTGTACTCTTCCAAAATGGTTATTACATGTCATCAACATGCATTATGTGGCATAAAAGTTTACCCTTATACTTTTGCATCCTAGGATCTTACCTATATTTTCTCGCCGAACCGAGCACGCAAAACCGCAGACGCACCCGAGCCTAACCGGGTTAGTTTCGTTTGTCACCGGCCGAACTACGACTTGTTATCCACGGCCAGAAGACGGGCTTAAAAGGTTAGTATTTTATGGTTACTGTCAATGCATATGCCATCAATCCTACATACTCGACAAACACGAAAAAATTGATTCATTATAGAGTAGGGGACCTAATCCCATGCACTTATTACACCGGGAACATATGCTCCACCGTAATCGGCAGGAACTCCGAATGCAGTACCACTACTTCCTCTGCCATAGTAATCCAGGTTTTTACCGAATGACTCCTCCCGCCTGAAATCGCAACCACCAAAACGTCCTCCAGATCGTCGATTCCTGTTACTACTATAGGGAGCCTGAGAGGCATAATGGGTGAGCCATGGAGGTACCTCTTGATTTGCTTCTTGCATTACCTCAGCTAGTGGCCTTGCCAGTGATAAATTGCTCTCGTCAAAGAAAGCGGTAGCCAACCCTGTTTTACCAGCACGGCCGGTCCTACCAATCCGGTGAACATAATCATCGATGTCGTTAGGAAGATCGAAGTTGACAACGTGAGCTACATGGGGTATATCAAGACCCCGAGCAGCCACATCAGTTGCTACTAAAATCGGGGTCTTCCCGCTCTTGAAAGATCTCAATGCTAGTTCCCTTTCCTGCATACAAGAAAACTCGCGGCATTATGTAAAGACATACTAACATAATGCAAAATAGATCTTCGAGTCTGCATCAATGTTATTCGAACTCTTTCTTCTTCTCGAAGCAACCACATCTAAAACCAGTGTCTGATGTGAATCCAAACAAGGGTAGGAGGATACGACTCTCCAAAGATCCTCCAAATACATGGAAAAACTTGAATGGAAATTGAACATGCCATGGTGGATATATACCCGTAACCGACTCTCAAACTCAAGTCTAAGTAACATAGTCTAGAACTCACTGAAATGGAAGTAATGCTCAATACAACAATTGAAAGAACAAGTATATCAATTTCACACAAGTACAAAGGCCTCATTCTTTCACTTATCTTCAGCAAATGTATTTCTAAACAAATTACCTGTTGGCTCCGATCACCATGGATTGTCGTCGATGGGAATCCATTAATGCACAGCCAGTGTTCCAATGAGTCAGCCCCTTTCTTAGTCTCCACGAAAACTAGAGTCAAAGCTTGCTGCTAAGTCAAAGACATACAGCTATTAATTGTCACGCCGGACAGAAATTATTCATCAAACAAATATACCAAGTAACACGGTAACCAGATTCGATTGAAAGACATATGGATAAAGGAACATAAGCATACATGGTAGTCTTGCATTACCTTGCCATGCTCCCCATTTTCCCTCTGTGCATGCAGAAGATCCATGAGATGGCTTCTCTTATCCGACTCGGGAACGAATTCAACCCTTTGAACGATTAAATCCGTACTCGAGCCAACCCTCCCAACAGCCAAGAATATGTAATTCGAAAGAAAATCGGAAGCAAGTCTCTGCACGACAACCATTTGCAAAAGGATTATGTATGAGTGGAATATGTTGGAGAATACAACTTCAACATTCAAATAACAGAAAGCATGAATCAACAAAGAAACCATATTTAACAATCATAACCAACCTGTATCTCCCTTGGAAAGGTGGCACTAAACAACATTGTTTGTCGGACACCCCGATTTGGCATATCCATTTGTTTTACTATCTTCCTGATTTGTGGCTCAAACCCCATATCAAGCATGCGATCGGCCTCATCAAGGGCCAAGTACCTAATTGACTGCAATGACACTCTGGCCCTCTCCAGCAAATCAACCAGACGTCCCGGAGTTGCCACAAGAATATCGACCCCTCTCTCCAGCTCCCGTAACTATGGAACGAAACATTTGCAAACAAAACCGAAAAAAGGGAAATAATCAGAAATCAGATATAGGGAGGCAGGGGTTTGCAAGGCGACCAACAAGCCACAAGCCACTGGAGATTTTTGGAAAAAAGATAAATAAACAAAATCCATTATAACATAAATTGAAAAGCCAGACAACATGACAAGATATAAAGACATAAACTTTAGAAAAGTTAAACATACCCGCCTCAGACGTATATACCCGTATCTGACAATACATCCGAGTTCAAGTAACATATATACATATTAGCACAATTCAGCAAAATCACATCTTCAATGCAGAATGCATCTAATAGGGGTTATGAAAGATAACAGACTCCTTCCTTCTACACCCTTAATGAAGATATCATAATTAGACAAAAACTATATCAAACTACAACACATTTTAAAAAAACTAAGAACTAGTTGAGTCAAAATCTAAATGATATAACATAGAACAGCTAAATGCATCAAATGATATGGAGTGAGAATGTTTTGTAGAACCTAAATTGATGCAATAACAACCTGTTGGTTAATCGGTGCTCCCCCGTAGGCAACAACCACTTTGACACCGGTTTGATACGAGAACTTCTTGGCCTCATCGTGTATCTGAAAGTGCATTATCATCATAACAAATCCACATTAAACCATTCAAAGAGATTACATGTTTACAAGAATC